GGGGGGTGTGAGTGGAGCGTGGGCGTATGGGGCAAGGATGGGTGTGCAAGGGGCACAGTGCGCATGCAGGAGCCGTGGTGGGTGTGCAAATGGCAGGGGGAGCATAGAGAGGGCATAGTGGCCGTGTGAAAGCTGTGGTAGGTGTGCAGGGGTCCCTGGGGTTGAAAAGTGGTATCATGGGTGTACAAGTGGCACAGTGGGTGCACAAGTAGCATTGTGGGGGTACCCTGGCACGGTGCCCGAGTGCCAGTGCCAGTGTCCCCAGGGAGGCACAGCCATGCCCACGGGGGTGGTGGGGACACCCCACGTGCGGCCCCTGCAGCTGCGATGTCACCCGTGGCTTCGACCCAGACTGCAACAAGACCACGGGCGAGTGTCGCTGCAAGGTGGGACCTGCCAGCGCTTGTCACTTCCTCTTCCAATCTCTGCCATCCTCCTGTTTCCCCTCTGTTGCCCCCTGCCACCTGGCCGACACCCAGTCACCTCCCTGTCACCCCCCATCATGCCTCTGACACCTCCCCAGTCACCTCCCTGTCACCCCCTGCCAGCCTCTGTCACCCCATCCCCGTGCCTGCAGTGACCTTCTGTCCCCTCAGGACAACCACTACCGCCCGCCAGGAGGGGACACGTGCCACCCCTGTGAGTGTTACCCCACTGGGTCACTGTCACGTCGCTGCAATGCCACCACCGGACAGTGTCCCTGCAAAGCTGGTGTCATCGGCCGCCACTGTGACCGCTGTGACAATCCCTTTGCTGAGGTGACTGCCAGCGGCTGTGAAGGTGGGGGATTGTCACACTGTGTCAACTTGTGTCACCCTGTGCCACCCTGCGTGCCCACTGTCACCCTGCTGTCACCCTCCATCACTGTCACCCTGTATCACCCTGTGCCACCCTACTCTGCCCTGTTGCAACCCTGTGCCACCCTATTGTCACTTTTTGTCACCTGCTATCACCATGCTGCCACCCTGGCTGCTGGCAACTGAGTTCCACCAACACCTTGGTTGTTGGTGTAATCCCGCTGGCACCTTGTGTCACCCTTCTGTTATCCTGTGTCACACTGCTGTCACACTGTTGTCACCCTATGTCACCAAGTCACTGTACTTTGACCCTGTGTTATCCTTTTGTCGGCCTGCTCTACCTCTGCTGTAACCTTGCTGTTACCCTGTGTCACCCTGTGTCATCCTGGGTTCCAGTGACCACATGCCCTGTGCCACCCTACTGTCACACTCTGCCACCCTGCGTCCCCCATTTTGACTCCCTGTTGTGCCCCGCAGTGAACTACGACAGCTGTCCAAGGGCCATCGAGGCCAGCATCTGGTGGCCCCGCACCCGGTTTGGGCTGCCAGCCGCAGCCCCCTGCCCCAAGGGCTCTGTTGGTACGTGGGGACATGGGGACAGGTGGGGGTGGCACTGGGCCTGCGGCTAGAATGGGGCTAGTGGTGACACAGTGGTGATATCAGTGGGATGAGGCTGAATGGGGGTAACACCACAGGGGTAATGCTGGGGTGATACAGGAAGGTGACACCATGGTGGCACTGCTGACACATGGTGGGGAGAGGGCACACCATAGTGTCACTTCAGGGTGGTGACACGATGGTGGCACTGCTAGAATGGCATGGAAACACCAGTGGGACAGGGCTGGGGTATGTCATGGTGGTGGCACCAGTTGGATGGAGCTGGGGTGGGGGGACAGCACAGGGTCACTGGGACAGAGCAGGAGGGTGATACTCTAGTGGCATTACTAGGGAAGTGGCACTGCTAGGATGGGTTAGGGGTGGTGACACCTTGGTGGCACCACCAAGATGGAATGGGGGTGACATGAGTGTGGACTTGTTGAGATGAGGCTGGGACTGCCACTGTGGTGTCACTGCGGGGATGGCACAGGAGTGTGACACTGTGGTGGCACAGCTGGGACAGGGTTGAGGACACCACTCAGGTGTCAGTGCAGGGTGGAGCAGGAGTGTGACACTGGTGGCACTACTGGCATGCTGTGAGGTGAGGCTGCCCCACTGCCCCCATGGTGCCACTCAAGGGTTCCCGTCCCACAGGCACGGCACTGCGCCACTGTGACGAGCACAAGGGCTGGCTGCCCCCCAACCTCTTCAACTGCAGCACACTGGCCTTTGCCGCCCTGCGCCCCTGGGTGAGCAGAGAGGACACCAGCGGCAGCCACGTGATGGTGCCGCTGGGGCCCCCCTGACCCTGCGTGTGTCCTCCCAAGGCAGAGCAGCTGGTGGGCAACGAGTCACGCTGGGATGCGGGGCAGTCACGGCGCGTGGCGCTGGCGCTGCGTGAGGCGACGCGCGGGGCCCACAGGTACTTTGGCAGTGACGTGCACCTGGCATACCGGCTGGCAGGGGCCCTGCTGCGCCATGAGAGCCGGCAACGCGGCTTCCACCTTGCTGCCACCCAGGACGTGCATTTCACTGAGGTGGGCATGGGGTCACAGTGGGAGGGACATGCCAGAAGGGGGAATGGGTGAGGCAGTAAAGAGGTTAGGGTGATGAGCCCCTTTGTGGGGAGGGGTCTGGGTGCAGGATCCCAGACACGGGGTGATGGAAACCCTCACGGGGAGGGGCATTGGGGCAGAACGTCAGATGCCAGGGTGATGGGCACTGACGTGTGTGGGAGAGGAGTTGGTGCAGGAAGTTGGATGCCAGGGTGATGGGCACTGCCTGGGGAGGAGAACTGGGGAAGGAGGCCAGATGAGGGCACCTCGTGGACAGAGATGTGGGTGCAGGTACGCACACACCAGAGTGATGGGCACCCTCATGGGGAGGTATGTTGGTGCAGGAGAGCAGATGCCAGGGTGAGAGGCATGGGGAGGGAGGTTGAGGGAGAAGGAAAAGAGGTTGGAATTATTGGGACCCTTGTGGGGAGGGCCATGCTGGGCCAGAAGGTCAGACACTGGGGTGATGGGCACCTGCATGGGGAGAGGGGAGGTGCTGGTGCAGGAACCTGGCTGCCAGGGTGGATGGCATCCACCTGGGAAGGGTATTGGTGAGGGAGCCCACACTTCACAGTTATGGGCTCCCACCTAGACAGGAATGTTGGTGTAGGAAGTCTGAACCCAGGGTAATGAGCACTCCTGAGCAGTGCAGTGTTGGTGTGGCTCGGGTTATACCCTCGACTTTGTGAGGCTCTCCTGTTCCCCACTGTCGGTGCCCCAGCCCACAGAGCCCTGCAGGGGAGGCTGGGGACTCCCTGCCCAGACCTCAGGATGCCAACCCTGAGTTCCACTACCGCTGCTGTGCCCCCAGAATCTGCTGCGGGTGGGCAGTGCACTGCTGGATGTGGGAAACAAGCGGCACTGGGAGCTGATCCAGCAGACCGAGGGTGGCACAGCCCAGCTGCTGCGGCACTTCGAGGAGTACGCGCGAGCCCTGGCATGGAACATGCCCCAGACTTACCTCAGCCCCTTCACCATTGTCACCCCTAACATTGGTCAGTGTGGACATGCATGGCCAGAGGGCTGTGAGCGGGGTGTGTGCCTGGAGACATGGATGTGCCCTTGGCATGGTGCTAGGGACACGGGCATGGTTGTGCCTGGGGGATGTATGTGCTGGGGACATGGATGTGTGTATGCCTGGGGACACATGTGTGTTYGGGGGATTGTGTGTGTGTTGGAGACATGGATGCATGTGTGGGAATGCAGACACGTATGTACATGGAGTCTGTGTGTGCCTGGGAACATGTATATGCACAAAGACATATGTATGAACAAGCACATGGGAGCTGGGGACGTGTGTGTGTATAAGGGCGTGTGTGCTGGCAGCATGTATGCACGTGTGACACTTGTACCTGGGAACACGTGGTGGGGACATGGACATTTTTGTGCCTGGGGGACATGGGTTAGGTATCTGTGTGCCCCTGGGGACATGGGCTGTGGTCTGTGTGCCCTGGGTTGGTGGATGCTGGGTACACAGGGTGCTGTGTGCTGTGTATTCCAGGGATGGTGAGTGTTAGAGTCAGTGGGTATCAGGATCCACGGCCCAAGGGTCAGGGGGTGCTGGGGTGCATGGCCCTCGGCTCAGTCGATTCCGGGCTCAGTGGGTGTTGGGGTCTGTGTGCCCCAGAGTTGGTGGCCTGTGGGTGTTAGGATTCATTGCCCTGGGGTTGTTGGATGCTGGGGTCAGTGGGTGCTGGGATCTATAGCCCCGTGGTATGTGTGCCCTAGGATCCATGGCTCTGGGGTTGGTGGGTGCTGGGGTTGGTGTGCCCCAGGGTCGGTGGTGCTGGGGTTGGTTTGTGCCAGGCTTGGTGCACCCTGGGATCAGTGAATGCTGGGGACCCTGTGCCCTGGAGTTGGTGGATGCCATGCCATGCTGTGCCGTGGGTGACACGGTGCCACAGTGGTGTCAGTGGTACGACTGGACAAGAGCAACTTTGCGGGTGCCCGTCTGCCACGGTATGAGGCGCTGCGCGGGGAGAAGCCCCTGGACCTGGAGACAACTGTCATCCTGCCCGACAGCATCTTTTGGTCCCGTGAGGACAGGCGTAAGTCCTGGGGGCAAGGTGGACAGGGGCCAGGGTTGGGGACCCACTTGAATCCATTGGACTGGCAGGGCTTGGGGGGACCACCATTTGGCCATGGGGACATGGCACAGCTGGGGGCTGGCAGAGACAGGGGAGCCCCAGCATACCCATGGGCTGCCAGGGTTGGGGATCCTAGCACCACCATGGGGACCCCAGGGTGGCCAAGGGACTGGCAGGTTTGGGACCTCAGAATGGGACAGGCATGGCTGGGGACCCTGGTAAGGATGTGAGGACCAGGGACCCCAGGATGGCATCAAAGATCATGGTGTGGTCATGACAGTGGGCAGGGTTGGAGACACAAGTGTGACCAAGGGGACCTCATTGTGGCCRTGGAGTTGACAGGATTGGAGACTCCAGTGTGGCCATGGGGACCCCTGGAGCTGGGTGGGTTGGGGGAACCTTGTTGTGGTCAGGGGACTAGCAGAGCTGGGGACTCCAGGGTGTCCACGGGGATCCCAAGGGGGTCTCAGAGCACCATGCCACACCCTGCCCATGGCCCCCAGGCCCCTCAGCTGGGCATGGGCAGGCACCACAGGGCACAGGTGGGCAGGAGGAGGACGACGAAGCAGGTGAAGAGGAGGAGGAAGAAGAGGAGGAGGAGGAAGAGGAGGCAGAGGTGACTGTGGTGACCCGGCACAAGCGCCACCCCTCCCTGGGCGAGGGCCAGGCCATCGCCAGCGTCATCATCTACCGCACCCTAGCCGGTCTCCTGCCCCAGCACTTCGACACTGACAAGCGCAGCCTCCGGTGCCACCGGGAATGGGGGCATGGGGGGCACAGGGAGGGCACCGGGAGGGCACAGGGGACTGGGGCACATGGTGGGAGCTGGGCCAAGCATTGGTGGGGTATAGGGAGATGGGGACAGGCGTGTCCTGAGAGATCCCAGGGGAGGGATGGGAAAGGGGGCACATGGGGTTCCCAAGGTTGGAGGGAACAGAGAGTGCCCAGCGATGGAGGGTACAGGGTTGGGGAGGGGGCCCAAGGGGTGCCCAAGGATGGTGCCCATGGGGTGTCCAAAAGTGGGGGCACAGGGGAGAAAGGGGTGCCCTCACAGTGTCTGTATGGTGCCAGGGTGCTCTGTGGCACCAGGGTGGGTTTTGGGGTGCCCTGAGTGGGCCCTCTGACCCTGGTGCTCCCCAGGGTGCCCAAGCGCCCCGTCATCAACACACCAGTGGTGAGCATCAGTGTGCACACGGGGGGTGCGGATGGCCTTGGGGGCACGGAGACCCCCAGGGCACTGGCCAAGCCTGTCACCCTTCAGTTCCGGCTGCTGGAGACTCAGGAGCGCTCCAAGCCCATCTGCGTCTTCTGGAACCACTCCCTGCGGTGAGGGGGGAAGAGGGGACAGGGGACACCCCAGGGGTGACAGGGACAATCTGAGGGCACAGGGACATCCCAGGGGATAGGGACATGGGAATGGGGATAGGGACACTCGGGAAAGATGGGGACACTCCAGACAGGGGACATGGGGATTAGGACACCCACGGGAACAGAATATATCCCAGGGAACCTCCTGGGGGGATGGGAACGCCTTTGGGAGTCAGGGACAACTTGGGGGGACACGGACACGCTGAGATAACTGGGGACATGGGGCACATCAGAGGAACAGGGAACACTTGGGGGGACAGGGGGCATGAGAATAGGGACACCCCAGTGAGATGGGAGTACTTCAGGGGGACAGGGATCATGGAGATGGGGATATCCCATGGGGACAGAGGACAATCCTGAGGGGACAGGGAACATGAGAACAGGGCAGGATGGATACCCCAGTGTCCCTGTGGGTCGTGGGTGAATTCAAGAGCAGGACATGAGGGGGCAGCTCTGACAATGGTGGGTGTTAGGGATAGGATGGGGGTGTCCCCAAATGGGGGGGGTGTTCCTGGGTGAGTGTCCCTGGTGGGTGAGKTTCCCCAAGGGGCAGCAGGTGTCTCTGCTGGGTGGATGGATGTCCCAGTGGATGGGTGGATGTTGTCTGTGGATGTACTTCATGGGTGGGTGTCCCCAGTGCGTGTGTCCCTGGTGGGTGTCCAAGGCTGTGACCCCTTGGATGGGTGTCCTGGGTCGGGTGCACGTCCCTGGGTGAGGGTGGATGTCACCGGTGGATGTCCTGGCGGGTGTCCCCGCTTGTGTCACTCTGGTGCTGCACAGGGCGGGCGGTGCAGGCGGCTGGTCCGCACGGGGCTGCGAGGTCGCCTTCCGCAACCGGAGCCACGTCAGCTGCCAGTGCCACCACCTGACCAGCTTCGCCGTCCTCATGGACATCTCCCGCCGAGAGGTGGGGGCATAAGGGGACATGGGAGGGTGCATGGGGACATAAGGGGACAGATGTGACACTGGGGACATGGAGGGACACAGTGACCCTAGGGCATGGAATGACTCAGGTTCAGGGCCCTGGTGGGGACATGGGGGCGAATGGAGGCCCCATGCAGTCATGGGGCATAGGGTGGCAGGGGGTGGCAGGCACAGGGCTTTTGATGAAAGGGGAGGGGACAAGGATAGGATGGGCCTGGCAGAATGGGAGGGGCCTACTGGGGCAGGGTCGGGGTGGAGGCGTGTGTGCTCATGGAGGAGGGACTGAAAAGTGGGTGGGATTTCAGTGGGATGGGGTCAAATTTAAGGGGCGTGGCTAAAACAGGTGGGTGAGTCTCCCATGGTCATGGGCAGCGCTGAATAGGATGGGCGAGACCATGTTGGATTTGCCAGAGCTTCCTTGGGGCGGGGTCAATCGGGATGGGTGGGATTCCAGTGGGTGGAGCTGAGCGGGCTGGGCGGGTCGATCTCCAAGGCACAGAGCTGACCTGGGTGGGGTTGCGAGAGGTGTGGCTGAGCTATGTAGGCGCACTTTCAGGAGGCGTGGCTGAGTAATGTGGGCAGGGTTTCCTGGGGCMAGGCTGAATACTGTGGGTGGGGTATAAAGGGGTGTGGTCAGTGCTGTGGGTGTGGTTTTGGGGCAGGGCTGACATGTGGGTGGAGTTTTGAGGGGTGCGGCTGAGTGATATGGGAGAGGTTTACAGGGGTGGAGCTATACAATGGAGGTGGGGTTTTTAGGGGCATGGTTGAGTGCTGTGACAAGGGATTTCAAAGGGTGGAGTTAGGGGCTGGGGCAGGGCTGAATAACGTGAGCAGGGCTTCCCATAGGGCTCTGCATTGTGGGCGGGACTCCCAGGCCTGCGTTGTGTATGTTGATGGCCATGTCGGGGGGCCTGACACACGCAAATCCTGGTGCTGCAGAACGGGGAGGTGYTGCCGGTGGCAGCACTCACCTACGGCTCACTGGGCGTGGGGCTGGCGGGGCTGGCGCTGGTGGTCCTGGCCCTGGGGACCCTGCAGGGGCTGCACTCCAACCGCCACAGCATCCGCCGTCATGGTGCAGCTGCGCTGTTCCTCGCACAGCTCGTCTTCCTGCTTGGCATCAACCAGGCCGATGTTCCGGTGTGTGGAAAAAGGGGGCTGGGAAAAGGAGGGAAGAAGTGGGGATCACTGAGAGGGGCTGGTTGGGTTAGGGGGTCTGCTGCCTTTGATGTGTTTGGGTCGGTGGGGCTGAGTAGTGGACAGGGTCATGGTGGTCTGTGCATAAGGGGTGGAATCTGAAAGACTTTGAGGCTAGGATGGAGTGGGGTCTGTCAAAGGGGTGGTGATTTCAAGGTGTGGAGTCTATATAAAGGGGTGGGGCTTCCAAAGCAGTGGGGCTGATAAAAGGAATGGTGCGAGGTCACTTCAGGGGTGGATCTTATCAAAGGGGTTGACTCTCAAAGGGATGGAGCCTATCAAAGAGGAGGGGCACTCAAAGATGAGGCCTATAAAAGGAGTGGGCCCTTTGAGAGGGGTAACCTCAATGGGGAGTGACCTCTCAAAGTGGGTGGAACTCAGGGTTGTGCATATAGTTGGATGGGCCGGGCTGTGGGCACGGCCAGTGGATGTGGCCACAGGCTGGTAATGACCATGTGGGTGCAGCTGGCGTGCACGGTGGTGGCCATCCTGCTGCAGTTCCTGTACCTGAGTGCAGTGGGCTGGGCACTGCTGGAGGCGCTGCACCTGTACCGGCGCCGCAGCGAACCCCGGCACGTCGACCGTGGGCCCATGCGCTTCTACCACGTGCTGGGCTGGGGACTGCCTGCCTTCATCACCGGTGAGCCCCGCTGTGAAAACCTGCCCTCATTCTGACCCCATCCCCTGGACCACTAGCTGCCTACCTGCACCTGGGTCAACACCTTCTGGTGGCTACACACCCCCTTCTAGGCTATGGCCCTGCCCCCTTAATCCCTCTCCCCCAATCAATTTGATAGGTGGTGGGATTCTATTTCCATGTGTAATGCCACCCCCAGAATATAGGACCACCCCCAAATGCATCTTTACCAGCATAGCCACACCCCTGGATATAACTCTGCCTCCAACAGGATAGTCACGCCCAATCCAAAATAGCCCCACCCCAAGAATTTAGCTCTACCCTTATCCACCATAACGGTTTACCTCCGCTCATATCTGCCATAACCCACCCCAATGGTTTTAGACACACACCCAGAGTCATAGTCCTGCTCTCTTCCATCAGACCCAGTCCCCAAGATTTTAGACAGGCCCCATGGTCTGTAATCCTACCCTCATCTGTCATAGCTCTGTGCCCAAACTTTCACACCCGCAGGGTCATAGCCCCACCCCAAACAGTATAAGCCTGCCCCAACATTTTATCCCCACCCCAGTAGTTTAACCCCACCCTCATCCATCATATCTCCACCCCAAGAGCATCTTTCCCAAACTGTTCAACATGCCCCCAGGGCCATAATGCCTTCTCCATCCATCATAGTCAGATGCTCTCCCAGGATCTTAGCCCTGCCCTCATCAGCACAGCCCCACCCCAAGAGAATAGACCTGTAATAACCTCTTAGACATGTCCCTAGTGCAGTATCTCTGCTCTCTTCACCATCGCCCCGTGCCCAAGAGCTGAGACACATTTGCATTTGGGTCACACTGAATTTGCACAGCGCTGTCTCTACCCAGCATAGCCACACCCCCAAGTGCAGCACCTCCTCGCCAGCCCTGTGCCCTCCCCGTGCCATTCCATGCCCCACCCTGCTATGGCTCTACCCTGTTTAGCCCTACCCCTCTCCCTTAGCCCCCTGCCCCCTTTATAGCCCTGCCTGCAGAATTGTCCTTGCCACTGACCCCTTTTTTTGTAGGGCTGGCAGTGGGGCTGGACCCTGAGGGCTATGGGAACTCCGACTTCTGTTGGCTGGCCCTGCACGACAGCCTGGTGTGGAGCTTGGCTGGGCCCTGTGCTGTCGCTCTTGCTGTGCGTACAGGGCTGGGGGCCGGGGAGGTCAGGGGACCCCTTCTCACCCTGCTCACTCCCAGCATCCCCTGCACCCCCAGGTCGGCATCTTCTTCCTGGTGCTGGCAGCCAGGGCCACCTGTACCACCTCCCCGGGCTTACAGAAAAAGGGCTCAGCGTGAGTCACCCAGGCTTGGGACACGCACGGGTGGGATGGGGTTGCCCAAGGGGGCCATGGAGGGTTGGGGTGCSTATGGTGGGCATGGAGGGTTGGAGCACCCATAAATGCCAGGCGGTACTGGGAGCTAGGGATGCACCCATAGGGGACTGGCCTTTTGGGGAGCCTGCAGAGAGCAGGGAGGCCCAAGAGGGACTAGGGCACCCATGGGGGGTAAGARGGCTCTGGGGACTGGGGTGTCTATAAGGGGTAGGAGGGGATGGGAGGGGCTGGGGCATCTATAGGGCCAGAGGGGCATGGAGAGCAGGGTTACGAGGGGCTGGAGTGCCGATGTGGGGCATGGGAGGTTGGGGGAGCTGTGGAGGGTGGGGGGCACAGGGGAGACCAGGACACCTATGGTGGGTAGGGGGATATAGAGAGCTGAGGCACCCATGGAGGGCAGGGGGTGCAGGAGGTTGGGGCATCTGGGGGGCACAGAGCTCCCATGGGGAAGCAGAAGGGGCATGGTGGGCTGGGGTTAGGCTGGGCCCACAGGGAACAGCAGGGCACAGGGGGCTGGAGCAGCCACGGAGGGCAGAGTGGATCAGGTGGGGGTCGGGGCATCCGGTGGGGGTAGGGGGCCACAAGGGGCTGGGGCAGCCCTGGGGTGGCAGAGGTATAGAGGGATATGACATGAGATGTCATTGAGGTGACACTGGGGTGCTGTTGGGATGCCCAGGTCTGGGGTACGCACAGCTGCAGTCCTGCTGGCCATGCCCAGCCTGGCCTGGCTTCTGGCCCTGCTCTCAGTCAACAATGACACACTGCTCTGTCACTACCTGTTTGCCGCCTCCAACTGCCTCCAGGTCAGTGGGGATCCCCTGAAACCCCACCCATGGGACCCCCAAAACACACACCCCTGGGACTTCCAGAGTCACCATGCCTAGGACTGCAAGTAACCACCATCCTGTGGCTTCCAGAGACCCCAGAGGCCCCTGAACCTCACACCCTTAGGACCTCACACCTATTTATGAGGCATCCAGTAGGCACAGAGGGGTCCTTTGCCATATCCAGGACACTAATGGGAAGCACCCAGTGTGTATAGGGGCACCTCACCCACTTCACAGTGCCCATGGGGGGCAGCCAGTGCATGTGGGGGTCCCTCAACCTGTGTGAGATACCAGTAGGGGCCCCTAGTGGGTATGAGGGGACCCTCATTTTCTTTGAGGTGCCAGTAGCATGCACTCAGTCTGGATGGTGACCCTTGACGTGTCTGCAGTGCTGCTGGGGACCTCCCAGGCTGTACACACTCCTCCTTGTCTCCCCTGCCGACGCGTCTCCCTCTCTGCCCAGGGCCCTCTCATCTTCCTGTCCTGCGTAGTGCTGAGCAAGGAGGTGCGGAGGAGCCTCCGCCTGAGCTGCACCCACCGCCACCACCCACCACTGGCCACCAAGGCCACCCTGACCCCTGTGAGTGCTGGGGGACTTGGGGGGTGCCAGGTAGTAAAGGGCAGCCTCTGCCATAGCTGTGATGTCCCTCTGCCTTTAGCAGGCCTATGGTGGGGACAGCACATACGTGGCAGGGCGGCTGTACCCCCCGCCAGGTGGCGGCTCCTCAGGGTCTCTGCACAGTACCATACGCTCGGGCAAGAGCCACCACAGCTACATCCCCTTCGTGCGGCGGTACTGGGCACAGCCGGGGCTGGGGCATGAGTTTTGATGCGGTCCTGGGCTGGCGTGGCATTGGGATGACAAGATGGCATTGTGATGTGGTGGTGGGGTGGCAGGGTGCTGGAGTGGTTGAGTGGTGGATTGGTGGGGTGGCAGGGTGATGGTGGGGTCAGAGGATGGCATGACTTGGTGTTATTGGGATGGCAGGATGGTGATGGTGGTGGAGGGGCGTTGGGATGGCTGGGTGGTGGGGCAGTGGTGTGGTGGCATGGCATACAGTGGCAGGATGGCATGCAAATGGAGTGGTGCGATAGTGGCAGGGTGGGGGATTGAGGGGTGGTGGGTGTCAATGCGTGTTGGGTATCAGTGGATATTGGGGTGTCAGTGGGTTGGTGTCAGTAAGTGGGTGATGGTGATGTTGGTGGGTGAAGGTTGGGTGTTGATGAGTGCTGTGTCTCTGCAGGGAGGACTCAGGGCTGGCAGGCAGCCCAGGGCCAGTGCCGCTGCCTGAGCCTGGGGGGCTCTTCCTTGATGCCCAGGACCAGCCTGAGGGTATGGCCCCATCCATGGGGCGAGTGTGCCCAGCCTCAGCTCAGGGGACAGGTGTCCTTGGGCACCCCCTGACCTGTGACCCCACAGAACATGACACAGACACAGACAGTGACCTGTCCCTGGACGACCCGAGCGGCTCCTACGGCTCCACACATTCCTCTGACAGCGAGGATGAGGCACCCCGTGGCTGGGACCCTCTGCCTGGGGCCCCCCCAGGTCTCCCTGGCCCTGGTAATGCGCCCAGGGGCACCCAGTGGAGATAGGGGACCTTCAACCTGTCTGGATGCTGATGGGGAGGCACCCAGTGGGTTGGAGGAGGTCCCTTGCTTTATCCAGGATGCTGATGGGGGGGTACCTGGTGGGGACACGGGATCCCTTGTCCAGCCTGGGGTGCAGATAGGGACCCACGGAGTGGATATAGTAGATATTGGGGAGAGGGTCCCTTGTGCAGTCTGGGGTGTCGATGGGGGTCACCTCAGAGGTTTGGGGTGTGGGGGGGGGCACTCATCCAGTCAGGGATGCTGATGGGGCACCCAGTGAGGAAGGACAGGATCCCTGGTCCTGCCTGTCCAAGCTTCCTTCCTTCCCTGCAGGTGAGCCCCTGGTGCCCCCAGGGTGCCCATACTGGCCAGGGGAGTTTGTGACGACCGCAAGTGAGAGCGAGGGACCAGGAGGCAGCGAGGGGCTTCGAGTGCAGCGAGCAGGGGACCAGGGACCCCCCTGGGGTGACTTCCCCCAGCCCAATGGCGAGGCACTCCCCAGGGACCCCCTGCTGCTGCCCCTGCCCCACCCCCACAAAGGTACAGGCTGCCATGGCAGGGGTGAACACTCCAAATCTGGACCCCCACCCACGGGTGATGCCACCCCCACAGGGATTCTGAAGAAGAAGTGCCTGCCCCCTGTCAGTGAACGTAGCAGTGCCCAGCGCCCTGGGCTGCCTCCACCACCTCCTGCTGGCACAGCTGCCTCCTCAGGCAGTGATGGGGGGGCCCCCCCAGTCCCCCGGCCTCGGCAGAGCCTCCAGGAGCAGCTCAGCGGCCTCACTCCCATTGCCATGAGCATCCGAACAGGCACTGCTGATGAGGACTCCTCCGGCTCCGAGTGAGTGCCCACCAGGTCTGAGGGGTGCTCAGTGGGGGTTCTTTGGGTGCCAGGGTTCCCTTTGAGCACCCATAGGAAGTGACGGTGCCCTTGGGGTGCTAGGGTTCCTGGTGGGTGGACAAGCAGTCCAACACTACTTGTTGGGTGCCCTTTGGGTGCCCATCAGGTACAAGGATAGGCTGGGGTGCCAGGGTTCCCATTGCACTCACTGGGTGCCAGGGTTTCCCTCAGGTGTGCATTGGGTCCAACACTGCTTGTTTGCCCATCAGGCCACAGTACTGACTGGACACCCATTGGGTGCAGTGTTACCTGTCAGGTGTCCATCGGGTTCCAGGGTTCCCTTTGAGTGTCCACTGGGTGCCAGGGTGCCCAACAAGTGCCCTTTGGATTGCCATCAGATGCAAGGGTTCCTTATTGTTGGGTGCTGATCGGGTACCAGCAGGCCATTTGGACACTTCTTGGATGCCCATCAGATGTAAGGGTAGTTGTTGGGTGTCCATAGGGTGCCAGGGTAACCGACAGCTGAGCATTGGGTGCCAGGATTCCTCTTGGGTGCCCATGGGGTGCAAGGGTAGCTGTTGGATGCTCACTGGTTGCCCATTGAGTGCTGAGGTACTACTGAATACCTATTAGATGCCCATTGACCAGTGGATTGAATACTTACTGGCTGCCTATGAGTTCTAATTACACCCATTGGATGCCCATTGGCTGTTCATGGGTATTGGCTAACCATTGGGATTCCCACTGGGCATCCACTGACCATTATGTATCCATTTGGTGCCCACTGACTGTCCAYTGGGTGCCTAATGACCTCTGGGTGCGTGCTGGGTGCCCACCAGGTCTAACAGCACCTCTTGGGTGCCCACTGACCATGGGGTCACCCATTGGTGTTGGGGTGTCCATCGATTGCCCATCAGGCCTGACAGTTCTTGGCACCTTGTTGGGTGGCTGTTAACTGTGTATGAATGTTCATTGACCACTGGGTGCCCCTTGGTTCCAACAGTGCCCATTGGGTGTTGGAGTGCCTATTGGGTACCAATTGAGTGTCCAAGGTGCCTGTTGACCACTGGGTGCCCAGTAGGTACTGGGGTGCCCGTTGGGTGCTGGGGTGCCCAGTGGGTACCCCTTGACCACTCACGGGTGCCCAGGGTAGGGCTGGCGTGGCGGCACTAACCCTACTCTTCTCTCCCCCCCTACTCCCCAGATTTCTGTTTTTTAATTTTCTCCATTAACCCAAGTGGGCTAGGGGGCTCCTACCTCCCCAACCCCCACCCCTCCATCTCCCTGCAAGGGCACCCTGGCACCCACCTACCCCATCATGCATCTGTCTGTCTTTTTTTTTATTCCTCCCCCACCCCCCACTTCGTATCCACCCCCCATCTGTCCTTCCCCCCCACCAGGAGCGACGAGACCTCAATCTAATGGGGATCCACCCAGCAGGCACCTCCGCAATGTGCCAGGGACACCAGGACAGGTGTCAGGGGAGGCACCGGGATGGTGGTGGGGGACACTGGTATTGGGGGGCACCAGGACTGGGAGAACACCAGAATGGGGTAGGGAGCCACAATCCCCCCAGTGCACTTTGTATCCTTGTAGGGATTGGCACCTTGGGAGGGTGGCACAGGGTGCCCTTGTTGACCTCCCATGATCACCCCAGCACCTTTGCCCAGCAGAGGGTTTTATTTAAAAAATACATGAAAATACAAAAAAATGGAATTTATAACCCACTCCCCGCAATGTGCCACCCCGCTAAGGTGCCAAACCCCCTGCCTTGAAGGTGCCACCCACCCCATTATGCCAACCCCCAAATTGTGGTGCCAACTTCACCCCCAGGTGGGGGGCATGTGGAGCGGGGATCAGTTGGGGGAGTGCAGGGATGTCTGTGAACACCCTCCAATAGTTACCCCTCCCCCCAAGGGGTGAGGCTCAGGTGGGGGAACCAAGGGATGGGTGTTGGGGGGCTGAGGGACCCCTGGGTGGTGGGGGGCACGGGGGGTTTCCTACTGCTGATGGGACCTTTTGTAATTAAAGCAAAACCCAACAAGTGCCATGGCTCATCCCTGGGGAGGCCCCTGGCTCTGCCTCTCCAACCTCAGCTGGTCCCTGGGGATTCCAGCTCTGCCCCCCACCCCAAAAACCAATGGGTGCCTTGGCTGGTGCCTGGGGCCCCTGACACTGCCCATCCCCTTCCAAAACCCAGTGGATGCTTCAGCTCATCCCTGGGACGGCCTTGGCTGTGCCCCACCCCCAAACTCAGCTGGTCCCTGGGGGGAGCCTGGCTCCTGTTGCCTGAGATCCCTCAGGAAGGGGGGGTCTGGGTGCCCCCAGGGCCTCTGGAGGGGTGTGGGGTGGTTTGGGAGTGTCACCTCGGAGTGCTGCTCACTGCCGTCTTGCGGGGAGGCCGCAGGCGGGCAGGGGGTGGTCCTGGTTTGCACCCTGAGGCAGCAGTTGGGGAGGCCACCCGTGCTGCCCCCGCACCTGCAAAGGGGAGAGAAACAATGGGGAAACTGAGGCACAGGGGAGGGGGCATCCCCTGTGCCACCACAACCCCACTTCATCCTTACCTCTGGGGGTGGGTGTCCTCCCGCCTACTGCTGGGGTCCGAGGGGACACCTTGGGGAGAGTGGTGGGTGCAGGGGAACGGCTGGAGGGGACAGGGGTGCTGGTGCTTCTGGCGTGGGCCTGGCGGGTGGTGGAGGGGCAGGGGACTGTGCTCCCCCTCGCCTTAGGCTGGCCTGGGGAGAGAGGGGTGGGTAGGGGCACTGTCCAGAAGCCCCCAACGCCATGGTGTCCCTGTTTCGTCACCATCAGTACCTGCTGTCCCCCCTCGGGGGGGCTCTGACCTGCCCCGGGCACCAGCCCCCTGTCCCTGGGGAGGGCATGGCCGGGGAGGGCCCACGCGGCTGGGGGGGAGCCCCCTGCCCCCAGAGGGTCCCTTTGGTGTTGCTGTGGAGTGACGACTGGCGGATGCCTGGAAACAGAGAGGGGCATCACTCAGTGAGTGCCCTCCACCCACAGGGCTGGGGTATTCATGATGCCCCTTGGAGATCAGGTATTTACTGCCCCCCATCCAGGATAGGTTTTGGGGGGAGTCTGGGAGTTCAGCCTGGGTGGGAAACGGCCACGCTGGGACCCCTCCCCCTGAGTCTGACCTACCTTGGGGACACTGGTGGCAGCAGAGGGCCCCCGGGGCTTGGCGGGTGGGCGAGGGGTGGGGGCAGGTGCCTGTGACTCCACGGTGGGCAGGAGCGCCCGCACCGGGCTATCCTTCACCACGAAGGTCTGGCGGCGGGGGCTGCGTGGGGTGCCGGGAGGCGTGGCAGCGGTTCCTAGAGTGTCTCCAGGAGCGGGAGGGGGCAAATGACACCCCTCCAGCTGTGCTGCCAGGCGCGTAGCCTCCCGCACCATCTCCTCCAGACGGGCCCCACGCAGGGGACTCCAGCGCCCATTGCTGCCTCCGCGCTGGCATCCCCCGCCTGGGCTCTCCTCATCCTCTTCTTCCTCCTGGCTGCGGATACGGCGAGGGGAGGGGGAAAGGTGGTGTCAGCCCTGTCCACTCTGCCAGAAAGTGGCAGGAGCCCCCCATGCCATCCATGACCCCAGCCATGGGGTGACAGGACCCCCAGAATCACTCTGGTAAGGGGAGGCATGTCTACAGGACCCTGTTCATGGAGTGACATGTTCCCTAGGATCCTATGGTGCCATGTCCCTCAGGGCCCCCAGCACCCTAAATGTGAGGCGCCCCATAACCCCATCCATGGGGTGACACGTCCCCTAGGACATTGAAAATAAGGTGCCATGTCCCCCTGTCCTCCATGTCCCATCCCATCCCCCATATCCCAACTCTATGGTACCCTGTACCCTCCCTGTCCCAACCATGGGGTGCCATGTCCCCCCTACTCCTCTGTACCTGTCAGAAGGGGACAGCACTCCGAAGTCGAAGCTCTCCTCGGTCACAAATCGAACATCTGAGGGGACACTAGGGGTGAGCCCCGGCCCTACCACCCCGGGGGGAAAACACGGGGAACACGCACTGCTGGCACTGCCGTACCTCGGTCCTCGGCCATCACCTCGGGGCATCGGGGCTACCTGCGGGAGCTGGGGGATCACCACCGACCCCATCGAGGTCCCCTACCCATGTCCCCAGTCCCCCGCGGGTGCCCAGTGGCACCGGCCAGCACGGGGATGGCACGGCTGGTGCCAGGCGCCGCCGGGCTCGGTGCCACCGGGATGGGGACAGGGACGGCGCTGTCCCGCAGCGCGGGAGCTTCCTGCCCGGGGAACCCATAGCCCAGCACCCCAGCCCGAGTGTCCTCACTGACACAACGGGAGGTCCCACCTCTGCACCCTGATCCCTGTGAGTCCCCCAGGCCACAATGGTGATTCCCTGCGTCCATCGAGTGACCAGCCCGGCACCCAGGGGAACCTCAGTCCCACACCCAGAAAGTCCCAGCCCCACATTTTGATCCTCGGGAAGTCACAGCTCCACATCCTGGGGCCCAGACTCCACACCCCGATCCCGGGGGGTCCCCAGCCCCACATTTTGATCCTCAGGGATCCCAGCCACTCACTAAGGGTCCCCATTCCTGTACCTAGGGGTCCCAGCCCTTCACCCCGATCCCTTGGGGATCCCAGCCCCCTACTGAGAGGTCCCAATYCTGCATCCCGATCTCGGAGGGGGTCCTATTCCCAATCCTGGGCCTCCCAACCCCACACCCGGGGAACCCCAGCAACGCACGCCCAGACGGGGGACCCCAGTCCCATACTGAGGGGGGGGGGCGGGGTCCCAGCTCCAAATTAAGAGGTTTCCAGCCCCACCGACGAGTCCTAGTCCCGCAACCCAACCCTTTGGTGACCCCAGCCCCACATTGAGAAGGTTGCAGCCCCTACCGGAGGTACAGGCCTCACAGCCCCATCCCTGGAGGTCCTCAGCCCCGCACTAGGAGGGCCCCAGCCCACACCAGGGGGTCCCAGCCCCTCACCCCGATCCAACGTCACCCCATCCCCGCATGGAGTGGTTCATCCCCGTCCTCCGCGGCCCCGCCCCCGATTTCCCCGCAGGTTTCCCCCCTTCCCGGGGGTCCCGGTCTCCCCCTTGTCCCCCCTCTCCCCCCCCGCAACCTCACCGCCCCCAGCTCCCGCTCGTCGCTCGCGCCGAGGAGGCGTGGCCTAAAACAAGGGGCGGGTTCCGGTTCGAATTCCCCCTCCCCTTGCGGCTCAATCGCGGCGCTCCCGCCCCGCGTTCCGATTGGCCCGCGCCCTTCGCATCCCCGCGCTGATTGGCCTGTCTCCTCGCCTCCCGCCTCGCTGACTGGCTCTGGCCCGTGCCGCGCCCGTCCTCCATTGGTGCGCGCCACYTGGGGGCGTGTTCCGGGAGCGCGGCGCAGTAGAGCCTTTCCGCCGCCGGTGCTGGTGCAGCATGGCCGCCGTCCCGCCCGACTCCTGGCAGCCGCCCACCGTTTCCATGGAGACCACGTAAGGGATGGGACCTCGCCTCGGTACCGGCACCGGAGCAGGAGGCCCTGCCCACCCCTGTCCCGCCCCCTTCCGCGGCACCGGAGGTACATCGGTGTCGGCACCCTTCCCCCCCGGTTCCGGGCAGGCGCCGGTGTTCCTCCGTGCCCGATCCTCCTGGTAAAGGGCAGTCCCCGGTGTTCGTGAGCCCCCGATACCGGGAGGATCGGGGAGACCCTGGACTCCACAGATGCTAAGAAGCTCCCGGTGTCTCCTGGAACGGGTCAGCTCCGTTATCCCTCAGTACCAACCGCTCCCGGTTTCCTCCCCCGGTACTAGGGAGCCCCTGGTCCCCCCCTCCCCCGGTGTCCCCCATGATGTCCATAACCCCCAGTCTCCTTAGTACCAGGCAGATCTCAGTGACCCCGTGGCGTCCCATTCGCCCCAGTGTCTCCCGGTACAGCACAGAACTAGCCAGTCCCGATAGTTTCCCCTGGTACCGACAGCCATCCATGTACTCCCGGGGTCCCATTATCTCCCAGTCCCTGCAGCCCCTATTGCCCCCCATCTCCTCTCACCTCTGTGGTCCCTGTCCCTGACTGATCCTGGGGAGGGGGTCACGTTGAGGTGTTTCCTGGTACCTTTGCCTTCCTGTTCCCATTCTCATTCCTATTCCCATTCTCATTCCCAGTATTCCCATTTCCYGTTCCCAGGATTGGCCTACTGGTGCTGCAGCTGTACTAACAGCACAGCCCCCCGACTTTGGTCTGAAACTGGGGTTGGGGGTCACAGTGGGATGACCCTGCTTTGCAGCTGCAAGAACTGCCCCATAGGTGGAGGAGTTCACAACAGGGTGACCCAATCCCCTGTTTCACCATTCCTGGTGTTGTTCCCCATTTCCAGTACCATTCCTGTTCCTGATTTAACCATTCCCAGGATGGGCCCACCAGTGCTGGAGCTGTACTGGCAGACAAAACTCTGGCTTTGGTCTGAAACTGGGTGTGGGAGTCACAGTGTGATGACCCTGTCTCCTGTTCCCATTCCCATTCCTGGTGTTCCCCTTCACAGGAGGGGCCTCCTGGTGCTGTAGCTATGCTGGCAACAAAGCCCCCTGACTTCAGTCTGAAGCTGGGGTTGAGGGTATCACCATGGGATGATCCCATGGTGATATTCCTATTCCCAATACCGTTCCCCATTCCTGGTGCCGTTCCCCTTCCCATTCCCAGTGTTCCCATTCCCAGGATGGGCCCACTTGTGCTGGAGCTGTACTGGCAACACGCCCCCCGTACCTGCAAGAACTTTGCTGAGCTCAGCCGCCGTGGGTACTACAATGGCACCAAGTTCCACCGCATCATCAAGGACTTCATGGTGCAAGGCGGGGACCCCACGGGTACCGGTGAGCTCAGCCCCCTGAAATCTCCCTGGGACCCTCCCCACGTCCAGGGTGTCCTGGCTGAACCCTCGAATCCCCCTTCAGGCCGTGGCGGCGCCTCCATCTATGGGAAACAGTTTGAGGATGAGCTGCACCCTGACCTGAAGTTCACTGGTGAGCGGGGCTGGCACGCTGGGAGAACACTGGAGGGGCACCCCTGGGACTCCCAGGACCCTACCTTTATGGGGGCAGGACACCTGGGAACCCACCCGTGGTCTGGGATGTCCCCTGTGTCCTCATCCATGTGGTGACATGACTCCCAGGACTCCAGTCGTAGACTGACCTGTCCCAAGGAGACTGGTCATAGGATATGTCCTCCAGGACCCTGGCCATGAGATGGCATGTCTCCCCTGTTCCCCAAGACCCCATCTATGAGGTGACAAGTCTTCTGTGTCCCCCAAAACCCCATCCATGGAGTGACATGACCCCCAGGAGCTTGGCCATGGGGTGCTCTGTCCTCTGTTTTTGGATTCCTGGTGTGACATGTCCCTGTGTCCCACAGACACCAGGATCCTGGCAATGGCCACTCTGGGGCTGGACACCAACAGGAGCCAATCCTTCCTCACATCCCCTAAGACCCCTCCATTGAGTGACATTCCCCATGACACCAAGACCTCAGCCATGAGATGACATGTCCTCCATGTCCCCCAGGACCCCATCCCTGGAGTGGCATGTCCCCCAACACCCTGTCCACAGCATGGCATGTTCTTCATGGTGCCACGACCCTTGGCCCATGTCCCGTGGGTGCTGTCATCCTGGTGATGACCAATACAGGGCTGGATGCCAGTAGCAGCAAGTCATTATTGATGTCCACTAAAACCCTCCTGTCGGGTGACGGGTCCCCCCAGGAGCCTGGTCATGGAGTGACATGTCCCAGGGACTGCAGCCATGGGCTAATATGTCCTCTCGGATCCCAATCTTGGGTTGACACATTCCCATTATACTGGGATCTTGGCCATAGATGACATGTCCCCCATCATGCTGGAACCTTGGCTGTGGGATGACATGTTCCCTATATCCCCATTCATGAGGTGACATGTCCCCATGCCCTGCAGGCGCCGGGATCCTGGCAATGGCCAATGCCGGGCCAGACACCAATGGAAGCCAATTTTTCCTGACACTGGGCCCAGCACAGTGGCTGGATGGGAAGCACAGCATTTTTGGGAGGGTGTGCCAAGGAATGGGGGTGCTGGGGCGCCTGGCCATGGTGGAGACCAATTCCCAGGACCGACCCCTCGACGATGTCAAGGTCATCAAGGCATATCCCTCGGGCTAGGGGGTATGGCCCTGCCTCCAAATTGTACTGTTTTTGTAATAAAAGAGGTTGGATGTCATGGCCCCTTCCCAGAGTGGTGGTTTTGGGGTGGCCTGTGGGGGAAGTGTCTTTGGCATGGTGGGGGCCAGGGAGGCTGTGATCCCTCCCAAAAGGGGTTTGTGGGTGCCCTTGCAGGAGTGGGTGTCTCTCCATGCTGGGGACATGGAGTGGCCAGTGGCCCCAGTTCCTGGGGGAGAGAGTGGGTGCAAGAGACCCAAATTTACCCCTACTATGTTGTGTCTGTGTGTCCCCGAAGTTTCCTGGGACTCCTGGAGTGTCCCCCCACCATGGACCCATTGTATGACTGAGCTTTGGGTGAAAAGGGGGGGTGGTGCTGCCCCCCTCCCCCCTGACTGGGCTCCCCAACAGCACCAGAGTTCCCCGAACCGGCAGTGGGGTCCTCATGCCAGCAAACACTGGGTTTGCCTTCTGGCGCTGGGTGACCCCACTAGCACTGGATGTCGCCGCTGGCTCTTGGTGTCACTCTCCTGGCTCCCAGTGCAGGACCTGGGACAGAACTGGGAGCTGCTGGGTGTTACTGGGAATGGTGTGGGGGTGGTATTGGGAGCTCCTGGGAGACAGCAGGGGACTGAGGGACTCTGGGTCTGCAGCTGATGGGGCTGTGGGGATACTGGGGAGAGTCTGACTGGTGGAGAACTAGGGGGATTGGGGGCTCATCCTGGGGTGTGGGTGGTACCGAGAGGGTCACCACGGCACAGGGGGGCCCATTGGAAGTGCCTGAGAGCCAGAGGGGGTACTGGGGCTACCGGGCAAGGGGCACTGGTGTTCGGTCTGGGGAGTGATCCCGGGCGTGGTACCGATCGTCCGTGGTCTACTGGGGTCTGGAGGCAGCCTCGGGAGCAATCCCAGGGCAGTATCAATGGTCTGGGGGCGATCCCGGGGCTGATCCTTAGGCAGTACTGGGGGCTGTACCGGCTTCTGGAGGGTACTGGGAGGGGGCACGAGGACTCTGGACGATACCGGGGATCTGGGAGTGATTTCGGGGATCTGAGCTATCCCGGGGACACTACGGGTGTCCGGGACGGTACCGGGAATGGGGAGGCGGCCCCGCGGGCGATGCTGTGGGGGTGCCGACCGTCTGGGGAGGTACCAGGGATTTGGGGTTGATCCCGGGTCTATCCGGGGAATCTAGGGCGGGGGTGGTATCCCGGGGACAGTACCGGGCTGGCGGGGAGAACCGGGCTCTGGAGGCGGTTCTGGGGATGATGCGGGAGGCAGTCCCGGGGATCTGGGGGTGATTTCGAGGCGGAACCGGGGCCGTCCCGCGGGTCCGGGAGGTACCGGAGATTTGGAAACAGGCCCGGAGATGGTGCGAGGGTAGATCTCAGGAATCTAGAGGTGATCCCGAAAATTTTGGGGCGATCTCGGGGACAGAACCGGGGGTCCTGCGGTGGCGGTGCCAAGGGCGAACCGGGAAAAGAGAGACAGCCCCGGGGGCGATCCCGGAGGCGGTGCCGAGGCTGTCTCGGTCTCCCCGCTGGCGGTCCCGAAGAAGACTCCGGGGCAGTCACGCGTTGCAGAGCCGGGGCCGGGAGCCCCGGGCGGTGACAAAGGTGGTCCCCGCCTCCCTGCGGGCGGTCCCGAAAAAGACTCCGGGGCAGTCTCTCGATGAGGGGCCGGGGCCAGGGCAGGCGCCGGGAGCCCGGGGCGGTGCCAAGGGCGGTGCCGGGGCGGAGCCGATCGCGATCGCGGTGCCGGTGCCGGGGTCGGGGCAGCGGCGGAGTCCGAGGCATGGCGGGTCTGGGCACCCCGGAACCGGGGACCGGCTCTGGCCCCGTCCCGGCCACCCGCGTGGAGCTCACGGTGTCTTGCAGGTAGCGAAGCCGCGGCGGAAGCCGGCACCGGGCACAGGGAGACGCTGGAGGCAGTGGGGAGCGGGAGCAGCCGGGGCTGGAGGGTGCTGGGTTGCACCACGAGGCATTGAAATCCCCTGGGATACACAGGGAAGCATTGGCGAGTAGGGCACTGGGTTGCACGGGAACGCAACGAGATGCACTGGAGGCATTGGGAGACACGAGTGCGGCTACAGCTGACGTCCAAGGGTGCTGAGGTGCACTGTAATGCACTGTGATCCCCTGGGAGGCACTGGAATGCACCGGAGAGTGGGAGCAGTTGGTGGAGTAAATTGCTGGGATGTATTGGAATGCACAGATGCCTTGGAAGGCACTGGGAAACGCTGGGGAATGGGGAGCAGTCAGCGTTGTAGGGAATGGGAGGCACAGGGAGGCACTGGGTTTCACTGGGAGACACTGGAATGTGCTAGGAGGCATTGGGGAGCATTGGGAGCCCAGGGGGTATGGGGACAGAGGGCCACTGGTGAGCCAAGGATGCTGTGGGTGGGGGGCACTGAGGGGAGGGGGGGACACAGGGGGGCAGTGGGGTATCTCTGGGACTGTGCATGCAGGGGGATCAGGTTTGGGGGATTCTGGAGGTGCAGGGTGGTCAGGTTGGACCCCTGTATCCCCTGCACTCCCTATACCCCTTGCCCACCATGCAGCCACTGGGCCCTCTCTTCAGTCTGGGGTCCTGCTTTGGTGTCCTGACAGTTGTGCCCTTGACACATGGCACCGTAACATGTGTCATGCTGTGCACCCCAATGTGTGTTGTGGGGCACATCTGGCAGTGCACCCCAACACACAGGCATGTTCACCAACACCTGGCTGTGCTCACACCCTGCTGTGCACCCTGACTCATGGTTGAACTCCCCAGAGCATGGCATCCCAACGTGTGTCAGTCATGCTTTGCAGTCCAATCCATGTCCTGGGCCACACAGCCTGTTACACACTGGGCACAGCCCAACACRTGGCTGTGCACCCCAGCATCTGGGCACATCTGACCAAGTAAGGGGTACACGCAGTCACGGAAACAGACAGATGATGACACTCACACATAGCACTCACACTCTCACACTCGGTCCCTCCTGCCCCCACAGGCAGCTCCTGGACAAGGACACCTTCTCCAAGTCGGACCCACGTGAGTGGGGCAGAGGGGATGGGGTATGTTTTAGGGTTTCTGGGGCTGTTTTGGCTCTTAGTTGCTTTGGGGAGTCTCAAGGGRGCTTGGGGGTTTCTGGGAGTTTTGGGGTCTCTAGAGGGTGTTTTGGGCTCTGGAGTTGGTTGGATCTCTGGGGGTGTTGGGGGTCTGTGGGGAGGTTGGGGGTGTCTCTGAGATATTTTAGTGKTATCTGAGGGTTTTGGAGGGCCTCTGTGAGCGTCACTGTTTTTGGGGAGTGATGTGGTCTCTAGGGGTTTTTTGGGGTCTCTTAGGAGTGTTGGGGTTCTATGAGATTTTGGGGGTGTTGGGAGCTCTGTAGAATGTTGGGAGCTCTGGGGGTTTGGGGTGGTCTTTGGGGGTTTTGGAGGTCTCTGGGGGATCTTGGGTAGCCTCTGGGGGGTTTTGGGAGTCTCTAGGAGTGCCTGGTCCCCCTGACCCCTCCCTCCGCAGTCTGTGTGCTGTACATACAGCGCCCTGGCAGCCAGCAATGGCAAGAGGTGAGTGACCCGATTGGTGGGGGGCAGCCAATCAGCATGTTGGGCTGTGGTCTTCTGGCCAATTGGCATGATGGGGTGCACTAAGCCTGCCAATCAGGATGTTGGGGTGTTGGCTGGCCAGCCAATCATCAGCATGTTGGGGCAATGACCAATCAGCATGTATGTATGCCAACCAGATGGCCAATCAGCATGTCAGGTTCAGCTAGCCAGCCAAGCAGCATGTAAGGTTCTGGCCTATCAGCATGTTGGGGTGATGGCCAGCTGGCCAATCAGGGTGTTGGGGTGCTGGGCAGGTGACCAATCAGCAGGTCAAATTCTGGCCAATCAGCATGTTGGGGGGCTGACCAATGAGCATGTTGGGGGGGGGGGGTTGGCCAACTGGCCAATCAGTGTGTTGGAGTGCCAGTTGTGTTGGGGTGCAGTGTTGTGGTTGGCCAATGAGCAGTGAGCAGTGTCTCAGGGTGCAGCACCTGGATAATGAGCACCCCGGGCTGCACGGGACAGCAATCAGTGCCTGCAGTGATAACCTAACCAGTGCCCTGGCCATCTGGGGAGCCTGTCGGGGTGCCAGGCAGCCAGCAAATCAGATGTTGGCATGCATCCAGGCTCCGCCTCCATGTAATTAACGGGGTGTTAATTGCGGGATAATAAGCAGGGGGTGGGGCAGAGGGAGGGGCGCCCCCGCGGCACAAAGCGGCACCTGGGTCCGCCCCACCCCTGCCCGCCTCTGTCCCCTACATGTCCCCACGTGTGCCCTGGCCTGGGCTGGCTGCCTGCCCTTGCCCCACCTCCTCCACACGCACGTGTCCCCTGTCCCGAACCCAATGTCCACGTGTTCTCGTGTCCCTGTGTCCCCATGTCCACATCCCCATGTCCCACTGCCCCCATCCCCATGTTCCCACCTTCATTCCAATGCCCCCGTTTTGCTGTGTCCTGTGTTCACATATCCCAGTGTTCTTATGTCCCCAAGTCCCCATCCCAAAGCTCCCATGTCTCTTATCTCCATGTCCACATACCCCTGTGCCCACATCACCACATCCTCATGTCTCCATGTCCCTGTCGTACTGTCATCCCATTATCTCCACTGTCCCCACGTCCTCCAGTTTGGCCGGACCGAGGTCATTGACAACTCCCTGAATCCTGACTTCCTGCGCAAGTTTGTCCTTGATTATTACTTTGAGGAGCGGCAGAACCTGCGCTTTGACCTGTGAGTGACCCCAGTGTCACCCCCCCCTCTCCCCCAGGATTACCCCCTGGCCACCCTGTCACAGCCTTCCAGTGTCCTTGGTCCCATCCCTGTTCTGTCCCCATTCCTGGACCATTGCCACCCTTGTTTACATCCCTGTCCCTTCCTTGTCCCGTCCCACCCTCATCCTTATTCTGTCCACTCCCCATTCTGTCCCTGTACACGTCTCATCCCTGTCCATTTCATCGTTTCCCCATCTCATCCTGTCCCTGTACCACCCTTGTCCCATCCTATCCCTATTCTTTTCTCTATCCCATCTTCTACTTATCCCCATCCCATCCCGTCACCACACCTAATCCATCCCTATTTGTGTGCCATCCCTGTCTCATCCCATCCCTGCTCCTCCCTATTCCCCTCCCATCCCATCCCTGTCTCCATCYCTGTCCCACCCAAGGCCCCCCCTTCTATTCCACACCCACATTAACCCTCTGTCCCCAGGTATGATGTGGACTCCAAGAGCCCTGACCTCTCCAAGCATGTAAGTTCAGGATCAGCCCTGGTCCCCTGGCCTTCTTGGGATGGGCATCCTCCTGGTGACATGCGGTGTCCCTGATCCTGTAGGATTTCCTGGGCCAGGCATTCTGCACCCTGGGGGAGATTGTGGGCTCAGCTGGCAGCCGCCTGGAGAAGCCCCTGACGTGAGCCCCACCTGTGCCCCCAGGCAGAGAGACTGTGTCTCTATGTCCCCAGTGCCCCCTGGTGCCCATGTCCCACCTCAGTGAAGTCCCTGATGAGAGCCATTCTTGTGCCTCAGTGTGTCCAGTGCCCCCAGTGTGTCCATGTTCCTCCTAGAGAAAATCCTGAGCCCCCTAGCCCCAGTGTCCGCATGTCTTCTCCAGAGAAGCCCCTGACATGATCCCCCCAGCCCCAGTGTCTCCCTGGAGAAGCCCCTAAAATGACCCCTGTGGCCCCAGTGTTCCCATGTACCCCCAGGTCTCTTTCTGTGTTTCCAGGATGGACCCAGACCCCAGAGCCGACAGTGGCATTTTGGGGGGCGGGCTTTTGGGAGGAAAGGCATTTTTTGGGGTCTGGCTTTTTGGTGGGGTTTGAGGAGTCTGGCTTTTTCTTGGGGTAGTGGCTTTTGGAGGGAATGTGGTTTTGGGGAGGGCATCTGACTTTTGGAGGGATCTGATGATTTTGGGGCTTGGCTTTATGGGGGGGGCAGTTTGTTTTTTGGGAAGTGACTTTTTGGGGGGCTGAATGTCTTTTGGGCACTGGCATTTTTGACGGGAGGATCAGCTTTGTTTTAAGGTGCTAGAATTTGAAGGGGGCTGGTTTTTTTTTTTTTGGAGAGTTACTTTTCTTATAAGGGAGGGGCTTTTTCTTGGGCGGGGGTGCCCTCCATCACCCTTCAGCACGTGTTCCTGCAGGATGGGGACAGCCATTATGCAGCCCCGGGGCAGGAGACCTGCCCCGGCCACCTCCAATGGGTAAGTTTTGGGGTGCTCAGTGCGTGAGAGACACCCCCAGGACACCATGGGTGCCCTTCCCATGCTCACATCCCATCCTGACAGTGGTATTCCGGGGAAGAAGTGTGGCACCATCATCGTCCTCGCTGAAGAGTTGGGAAACTGCCGGGTGAGCCATGGTGGTGGGGGGGACGACAGGAGGAGATATCTTGGGGACCCTCCAATATCGGGGGTGGCTGAGACACATCAGCCCGCACCCCAAAGATGTGGGTGAGGGCTGACTATCCCCACAGTGTATCTATCCCCCCTGTCCTGGATCCCTCCTTCCCTAATGGAGCAGCCGCCCCTGCAGGATCCCACTCCTCAGGGGGTGGCAGGGTGAGTGTTACCCACCAATCCCACCCACCAGGACGTGGCCACACTCCAGTTCTGTGCCAACAAGCTGGATAAGAAGGATTTCTTTGGAAAATCTGATCCCTTCATGGTCTTCTACCGCAGCAACGAGGACGGGACGTGAGCAAGCACCCCTCAAAACCACAGTGACCCTACACCCCACGAGAGGGCTCAGTCCCAGGACAGGACAGCCCAACGTCCCCGTAGACTGGCATTGGGGGGGGTTGTCCACAAATCCTCATTGCACTGTGGTGGTGACGGGTTGTGGGGTGTTGGGATTGGGGAGTGATCCCCTTGCTCCCCGCTTGTCCTGCCCCCAGTTTCACCATCTGCCACAAGACGGAGGTGGTGCGGAACACCCTGAACCCTATCTGGGCAGCTTTTGCCATTCCGGTGCGTGCCCTCTGCAATGGGGATCATGACCGGTGAGCACTGGGGTACTGGGACCCCCTTCACCCCCTCTTTGGCCCCAAAGACCTCCTTACCCTTCTTGCCCCCACCTGTAGGATCCACTAGAACTCCTGAACCCCCTTACCCCAACTCTGCCATGCCCAGGGACCCTTGCACTTCCATCTCTGTGGTCTTCTGAGACCGCCTGAACCCCCTTCCTCTGAAACACCTGGTGGCCCAGGACCCCCTGCAGCCCCTTCCCCTGTCTCTGTGGTCTTCCAGGACCCCTTTCCCCCTCTCCCCTCATCTCTTTGGGCCCCCAGGATTACATTTTTCTGCTTTCCTCCATCTCTCGGGTCCTCCGGGAACCCCTGCACCCCATATCCCCATCTCTGTAGGCCCCAAAGACCCCCTCCACCCCTTACTCCCATCTCCATGGTCCTGTGGGGTCCCCTGAAGCCTCTTCTCCCCATCTCTGTGGTACTTCTGGACCCCCAGCACTCCCCTCACTCCATGTCCATGGTACCCTAGGACCCCCTTCCCCTGTCTCTGTGGCCCCCCAAATCCCTTCCCCTGTGTCTGTGGTACCCCAGGACCTTCTTTACCCCCTTTCCCCTATCTCTGTGGTCCCAAAGATCCCCTGCACCTCCTTCCTCATCTCTGTGGTACCTCAGAACCCTCTGGAGCCCTTCCACCCTCTTGTGGCCCCCTGAGACCCCCTTACCCCATCTCTGTGGCCACCCAAGACCCCCAGAACCCCTTCCCCCATCTCTGTGGTACCAGCATTACCCACATCCCTGGTGTTACCTGCTTTTGCCTCAGTTTACCCATCTTCGCAATGGACATCATCACTGTCACCAAGCCATCCCCCCTTCCCCAAGCCAGTGTCATCAGCTGCTGTCCTGGCAAACAGCTCCTCATGCCGCTTGGGCCCTGTGTTGGATGTTGCTGTGGCAACGATGGATAAAAATATCCCACCAAGGAGGAGGAGGAAGGAGGAGAAAGCCCAGAGGCGTCAAAACAAATCCCACAGGGAGGAGGGGGGATTGTGTGTGATGGATCTCCAGGGGAGGGGGCGGATAGGATTTGGGGGTGTCAGGGGATGTTGGTGACACCCCCACCCCTGCCTTGCAGAGCCATCAAGGTGGAGGTATACGACTGGGACCGTGATGGCAGGTGAGCTGGGTGTGGTCCTGGGGACCCCCCACACCCTGGCCCTGCAGCCCCCGGATTACAGGGACTCCTCGGTGATGGGAATCCTCCCGGCTATTTGGTGCTCTCTGGCTGATATGAAACCTCCTGGGCGATGGGAAATGCCCCATCCCCACATCCCTGAGTGATGGGAGCCCTCCCAGCTAATGGGAGCCTYCCTAACCCGACTGATGGAGACCCCCCGGCCTTGCAGCCACGACTTCATAGGGGAGTTCACCACCAGCTACCGGGAACTGGCACGGGGTCAGAGCTGCTTCAAYGTGTATGAGGTGAGGAGATGGATACATGGGCAGGGGAGTACTGCACCCCCTGTGGGGGTCACAGTCCCACTGCCATGCCCCCAGCTGTTCTAGTCATCAGGGTCCCTGTGCTGCATCCCTGGGTATCATGGTCCTTGTGCTGCACCTCTGGGATTTAGGGTCCCTGTGTGGGTGCTATGTACCCCAGGGTCCCCGTGATGCAATCCTGGGATGTTATGGTCCCCAGGGTCTCTCCCAGCAATGCACGCTGGCATGTCAAACACTCGAGGGTCCTCTTCCTGCACTCTGAGGTGTTGTGGTGCCCATAGAGGTTTACAGTCCCCAGGATTCCTGTGCTGCACCTCAGGGTGTTGGGGTTCCCACACTGCACCCCTGGGGTGTCATGGTCCCCATGCTTCACCCTGGCACGCTGCACCCACAGCTGCTCCCTTGAGGGTCCCCTGCCCACCATGGATCTCCAGCTGCACTAGAGTTCCCAGGGTGCCCCCATGCACCCCTGGGTGTCACAGCCCACCAAGTGCTCCTCGAGTACAGTGCTCTGACCTCTGCCTCCGCCAACCCTATTTCATGCCTCCCTGTTCCCCAGGATGTGACACCCCCCATCCTTCTGTCCCTGTGAGGAGCAGCCCCCCTTCCCTCCCCTCCTATCCCCRCAGGTGGTGAACCCCCGGAAGAAGATGAAGAAGAAGAAGTACCTCAACTCAGGGACGGTGAGGATGGGGCTGTGGGGCTGGGAAGGACACAGAGGGTGTGGGCACTTCCCCAGCCTGATCACCATGTCCGCACAGGTGACACTGCTGTCCTTCACTGTGGAGGCCGAGCACACCTTCCTGGACTACATCAAGGGCGGGTGAGCAAGGGGTCCCCAGCACCCCCAGCTGGACCTTTGAGGGTCCCCAATACCTCTAGCTGTCTCTTGGGAGTACCGAGCACCCTGAGCTGCTGCCTCAAGGGCAGAAAATCACCAGAACCCCCACGTGATCCTTTGAGAGTCCCCAATGCCTCCCACCACTCCCTCATGGGCACAGGTTCTCCAGAACCCGCATCTCCTTCCTTGAAGATCCCCAGTACCCACTGTTGCTCCCTCAGGGATGGGGAGGGAGATCTCTGCTATCCCAGTTCCTCACTGTGGAGTCTCCAACACCCACAGCTGCTCCACTGGGGGACCCCARCACACCTAACTTCTCCATTGGGGGTCTCAGCATCCCTATCCAGATGCCTCTTTGGGGGCAAGGGGTCCCCATTACCCACAGTTGCTCCACTGATAGTCCCCAGAACCCACAATTGCTCCTTTTGGAAGTCCAGCAGCTCCCTTTGGTATCCCCAACACCCACAGCTGCTCCTTTATGGGAAGAGGGTCCCCACCATCTCCATCTTCTCCATCGGGAATCCTCAGCACCCCCATCCAGATGCTCCTTCATGGTCAGGGGCTCCCTAGCACCCCAAATTGGTCCTTTGAGGGTCTGCAGCACCCACAGCTTCTCCCTTGGGAGTGCCTTCTCCCTGGCACCCCCAACTACTCTCTTTGCGGTCCCCAGCATGCCCTGCCTCTTCCTTGGGTGCAGCATGGTGACACCTCAATGCAGGGACACTTGGGTTGCTCTGAATTGGAGGATGGGTGCACTCAGTCCACCTGTGGCCCCAAGGATGTCCCCACCACAAACCCCCTGTGTCACCTGAGACCACTTTGCCCCCCAGGACCCAACTCAACTTCACAGTGGCCATCGACTTCACAGCATCCAATGGTGAGTGGGGGCTGTGTCCCCCCAGGGCAATTTATTTGGGGCAGTCGTAACCAGTTTGGTGTCATGGTGGTGTCATCCTTGTCACCAGATTGGGGACATGGTGGTGTTGTCTTTGTCACTCTGTTGGGGACATGGTCATGTCTCTGTTGTCACTAGGTTGGGGTCATGATGCCATTGTCCTTGGTGTGGGTTTGGGACCATGACAGTGTTATTTTTGTCGCTGTGTTGGTACTACAGTGGTGTCATACTTGTCGCCAGCTGTCACTAAGTTGGGGATGTGGAGGCATCATCCTTGTCACCAAGCTGGGAATATGGTTGTGTCACCCTTGTCACTGGGTTGGGGACATGGTGGGATCAAGTTGGGGAGATGGTGTCATCCTTGTCATCAGGTTTGGGTCATGGTGGTGCTGTTGGGGACAAGATGACATCACCCTTGCCACTAGGTTGGGGCCGTAGTGCTGTCATGGGGTGGTGCCATGGTTGGGGGGATGCTGGAGGTGTTTTGGGGATGCTGGGGGGATTATGAGGATGATGGTGGGGCTGTGGGGGTGCTGAGGATGCTGAGCCCCGTGCCCATGCAGGGAACCCCTCGCAGCCCACGTCCCTGCACTACCTGAGCCCCTTCCAGCTGAATGCCTACAGCCTGGCACTGCGGGCCGTGGGGGACATCATCCAGGACTACGACAGCGACAAGATGTTCCCAGCCCTTGGCTTTGGTGCCAAGGTCCCCCCGGATGGGCACGTGTCCCACGAGTTCCCACTGGTGAGAGGCCAAGGTGGCATAGGACTGCAGATAAAGGGTGGTGTCCTTGTCAACCAATTGGGGACATGGTGGGATCATTTTGTCACATTATTTGGGATACAGAGGTATTATCCTTTTCCTTGGGTTGGGATCATGGTGATGTCATCCTCGTCATGTTTTAGGACCATAGTGGTGTCATCTTTGTCACCAGATTAGGGAGGGGCATGGTGTTGTCTTTGTCACTAGGTTGGGGACGTGGTGGAATCATCTTGTCACCAAGCTGGGGATGGGGTGTTGTCTTTGTCACCAGTTTGGGGTTATAGTGGTCACCAAGCTGGGTACATAGAGTGTTTGGGTTGGATCTGGATTGGGGATGTGGTGGTGTCATCCTTATCCTTAGGCTGGGGACATAGTGGCATCATCACTTGGTTACTGGTTTGAGGCCATGGCAGTGTCATCCTTGTCACATTATTTGGGACATGGTGGTATCATTCTTGTCACAGGGCTGGGGATATAGTAGCATCATCCTCCTCACCATTTGTCACTGCCCTAGGCACATATTGTTGTCCTTGTCACTAGTTCTTACTGTGTTGGGGACATGGTAGTATCATTTTGTCACTGGATTGGGGGTGTGGTGGCATTGTCCTTCTCACCAGGTTGGGGCCATGACAGTGTCACCCTTGTCACTGGATTGGGATCCTGGTGGTGTCTCCCACATTACCACATTGTGGACATGGTGGGATCATCCTTGCTAGCATTTGGGATCCATGGCAATGCCATCCTTGTCTGTGGGTGGGGTCTGTGGTGTCACCCTGTCCATGGGTGGGGGCCATGTTGTCAACGTGGTCCCGGTGGCCTTGTGGCAGAATGGGGATGCATCAAACCCGGCGTGCYGTGGCATTGCGGGGGTGCTGGAGGCGTATCAGCGCAGCCTGCGCCGTGTCCAGCTCTACGGCCCCACCAACTTTGCCCCCGTCGTCAACCATGTTGCCCGGTAAGAGGGGCCCTGTGCTGTGGGGTGGGGTCTCTGTGCCCCCCCGGCGTCACGCAGGGTCCCCTCAGCTCGGCAGCCACGGTGCTGGATGGGTCCCAGTACTTTGTCCTTCTCATCATCACCGATGGTGTAATCTCCGACATGGCCCAGACCAAGGAGGCCATTGTCAACGTGAGACGCCCTTGGTGGTACTGGGGCAGGTGATGGGACCCCTGGGTGCTGGGGAAGGAGCTGGGACCCTTGGGTGATGGGGGAAGTAGGGAGGGATTGGGACCCTTTGCGGGGGTAGAAAGGGTTGGGGACCCCTGGGTGTTGGGGTGTTGAGGAGGGGCTGGAACCCTGAGAGGGTGGGGGGTGGGAAGGGGCTTGGACCCCCTGGGTTCTGAGGGGTTGGGGGTGGCTAGGACCCTTAGGGTGGGTGAGGAGGAGCTGGGACCCTGAAGCTGAGAGGGAGGGGGTAGGTTGGGACTCCTGCTTGCTAGAGGGGTGGGGAAGAGGCTGAGAGCTCTGGGTGCTGGGGGGTTGTGGACCCCTGGGTACCAGAGGCAGTGAGGAGGGACTGGGACTCTTCAGAGGTGGGTTCAGTAGGGGCTGGACCCCCAGGGTTGGGGGGATAGGGGTGTCTGGGATCCCTGGGTGCTGCAAGGGGTCTGGGAAGTTCCTGGGACCCCCCAGTGCCAGTGGGGGCATGGGTCTGAGACCCTTGGGTGATGGGGGGTGGTGAGGGACTGGAATCCTTTGTGGGGGGTGGCGGGACACCTGAGTGCCGGGTGGTGAGTTTGGACACCTGGATGCCGAGGGGTTGAGGAAGGTGGTGGGTCTGGGAGTCTTTGGGTGATGGGGTGGTAAGGAGGGCTGGCACCCCTGGGAGGGGTGGGTATGATATGGGAGTGATGAGGGACTAGAATCCTTGGGGGAAGGGTGTTGGCTACCCTGAGTGCTGGGTGGGGAGCGGAGCTCATTTGATACCCTGGGTGCTGGGTGGGGAGCAGGGCTCATTTGGTGGCAGCATCATTAAATTTTGTGGATATCCTTCAGGCTGCCAAATTGCCCATGTCCATCATCATTGTGGGGGTCGGCCAGGCCGAGTTCGATGGTAAGATTTGGGGGCTGGGCATAGCTAGGGGAAGGCTGGAGGGGTCGGGGGTGTCCCTTGGCCACTGGAGCTATGAGTTGAATGTGTCACGACATGAATGGGCTCAGCATACCCCAGTGAGAGGGCTTGGTGGTTCTGGGTGTGGGGTTGGGAGGAATATAATGGGATCCCACCCTGGAGTGGGGGGCACTGGGATACTGCTGACCTGCTCCCCACACCCTTCTCAGCCATGGTGGAGCTGGATGGGGACGACATCCGCATCTCTTCCCGTGGGAAAGTGGCTGAGCGTGACATTGTCCAGGTACCAGATCCACCAGTGAGGAATTTGGGGATTCCCTCCCAGCCCACCCAGAAGTATGGTGGTGGGGGATGCCCTGTCACTCCTGGCATGCACTGAGTGGGACCCATGTGGAGGGATGATAAGGTGGCCTGGGACATGGGGCAGCAGTGGGATTTTGGGGTGCACTGGGAAAAGAGGGTGCACTGGGATTAGGGATGTACCTCGGAATGAGGGTGCACTGGGACATGGGAGTGTATTAGGATATTGGGGACCCTGGGACATGAAGGGGATGCTAGGATGTGAAAGGAATTTTACTTGGAAATGGGGGGGATTGGGATGTGTGGGATGTGCTGGGACATGAGGTGCATTGGGAGATGGGAAGGATGCATAGGGGAAAAGGGATGCATTAGGGTTTGGAATGTACCTAAATGGGAGGAGACACTGGAACATGGGGTGTGCTGGTGATGAGGGCCTTCACTGGGAAAAGAGGGTGCACTGAGATTTGGGATGTCCCTTGGAATAGGGGTGCAGTGGGACATGGGGTGTATTAAGATATGGGGGACACTTTGGCATGAAGGGGGTTGGTACTGGGAAATGGGGGGGCACTAGCATGTGGGGGGCACTGGGAGATGGAGGGGCATGTATGGGAATCTGGGTTTGCACTGGCACATGAAGAGGGCGTGTACTAAGACATGGGGGAACTTTGGGACAATGAGAGGGGGCACTGGCATATGGGTGTGCCTGATGTAGGGGGGCACTGGGACATGAAGGGGGTGTGTATTGGGAAATGAGGGGGGCATTTGGATGCAGGGGGCACTGGCACGTGAGGAGGGTGTGCTGGTGAATGAGGGGGGCGCTGGGATACTGGGATGGACCTGRATGTGGGAAGCAGTGGGACATGGGGAAATAAAGGTGGGCACTGGGATGTGGGGGCTGTGGAAAATGGGAGGTACTGGGATATGGAGGGGCATTGGGGCTTGGGATGCACTTGGATGTGTGTGTGCCTTGGGACATGAAGAGGGCTGTGCTGGGAAGTGGGGAACACTGGGATGTGGGAATACATTGGGACATGGGGGGGTACAAGGATATGGGGGGACACTGGGTCTTAGGATGTACCTGGATGTGGGAGACACTGGGACATCAGGAACGGGGAGGGGACACCGGAGCTGCTGTGTTGGGGACACACAATTTGCGGGGTTTCCCGGCCCTGGACTCCCTCAACCGCTCTACCCCTCTCTGACTCCCCAGTTTGTACCATTCCGTGACTACATGTCAGGGGGTCCTGGCGCAGGGCTGAGCATGGCAGGTCTGGCACGGGAGGTCCTAGCGGAGATTCCTGATCAGCTCCTCTCTTACATGAAGGCGCGGGGCATTAAACCCCTCCCTGTCCCTCCCATGTCCCTTGAAACCCCTCCACCCTGACTGCCCACTCCTGACACACCARATCCCCTCATCCCACCCCAGGACCCTCTGTCCAGAGGCCAAAGGCAGCCAGAGTCTGCCAGGGACCTGGAAATGGGGGTTCCTCTCCTCCCCTCCACAACCTCGGGTCCCCTCCCATCCAGGTTTCCACCACCACTCCCATAAACCAGCTTTTGGTGTTCTGAGGGGGATTGGGATCGTGTTGACTGAGCATCCTTGGCCACGGGATATGGGTTCCCCCCCCATATACCATCCAGGACAGTCCTGACCCCCCCCAATAAGGGACAGGGAGTCTTCACCCTCCTGAGGAGAAAGCTGGGGTGTGCAGGAGCCTCCCACAAATGTGGAGTGCCCCTCCAGGGTGATGCATGATTCCTCCTCACCCCACCACCCCTCCCAAATCCATAGACCTTGCCCCCACTCCCCATTTCCTGGGCTGATTCCAGTGGGGCCCCCAGTGTTTTTTGTGTTCCCTCTTGCCATGTTGCATGTGTCTGTGTAGGTTTGTATTGAGTTGCCTTAAATCGCAATAAATTATTGTGGCTTTAATTACAGCCCCCTCCCCCGGGACTCCCCAGCATCTCCCCTAAAAGGCGTCCCCCTTGGTTGCGTGTGTAACCTCCCATGCGTGATCCTCCCCACCTGTAACTCTCCCCAGCTGTGTGACAGCTTCTGGGACTGTGACAACTTCCCTGCTCAACTGTGTGACTCCCCACCGCCAGCTCTGACCCCTCCCATCTGTGACCCCCCCAAGCTGTGACCTCCCTCCAGCTGTGTCACTCCCTCAACCTGTACTCCCCCCTGTGACACCCCAGTTCTGACCCTCCCCATCTGTGTGAACCCCCACACCCCATGTGAACCTCCTTGGCTGTATGTGCCCTGCCCCTGGCTGTGACACCCCCAACTGTGTGATGGKCCCCATGTCTGATATCCCTGGCTGTGTGTGATGGCACCACACTGTGTGATACCTCCCGACTGTGTGTGACACTCCCAGCTGTGTGACCCACTCCCGCAGTGTGTGACCCCAAAAATTGCAAATACACTGAAACCACTTGGAGTGGGGGAGGGTTGGGTTATTTACCGGACGCTGCCCCTCCACACCCCAAAACTGCTTGAAGGGGGCCTTGGGAGTCTGTGGGGGCTCACAGACTCTACACCTTAACTGAGGGGGTCATAAAGCACCTGAAGCCCAGTTGGGGAGTTACGGAGACCCCACATCTCACCGGGAGGTTCACAAAGTATCCGCACCCCAGTTATGTGGGTCACAAAGCCCTCACACTCCACTTTCATGGGTTAACAAAGTACCCCCAACTATAAAGCCCCCCACCCCAACTGGGGTCACAAAGTGCTCACACTTCAGCTTGGGGGTTTATTAAACCCTTGCATCCAAATTGAGGGGGTCACAGACACCCCACATCCCAGCTGGGTGGGGTTGCAAAATGCCTATCCCCTAGCTTGAGGGTCACAAAGCCCCCACACTCTAATGGGGGGGTGAAAAAGCTTCCTCCTGCTGGCTGGGAGGTGGGGGGGTTGGTTTAGGCCCCCCTTTCCCCCCAGAAAAGTGGCTTTCCAGTGTAAGGAGACTGCACCAGTGCTGAGACCAAACCTGTCATAGGGTACTGGGGGGACACCCCATGTTGAGGTGGCTGCTCTCGCCCTGCCTTCCTGCACCCCTTCAGGCTGCAGAGGCCTGAACCTCTGGGCTGCAGGGCCCAGACCCTCAAATTGCTTCAAGGTTCCATTCTTTATTGCTGCATTTCCCCCAGCCAAGGTCAGCCCTGGGGGAAAGGGGCACAGACCCAAAATGGCACACCAAAACATAGGGGACCTCACCCAAAATGGCACACCAAAACATAGGGGACCTCCCCCAAATTGAGCTGTGTGAGGGGTCTTACGTTACTGTGGAGAAGGGACAGGCAGGGAAAGTCACCCCTTGACCCCCCTCCCCCCATAGCAGTAGTGACATTGCAAGGATCATCTTCCCCCCAGAGGGGGGG